ACATCAGTCAGCAGGGTGCTATGGAAAGGAAAGAGACCAAACCACTGTTTGGTGACTAGAGCATCAATCTCTGAAAGATGGAAGGAAGATGAATGGAAAGCGAGAAACCGGGAAATGGATGATCGAGAGAGAAATGAAAGACGGAAACCGGGCAAAGATACACACAATAGTTTATTTATCAGAGCTGACAAAGGCTCATCCCTCCATAGAGAAGAGGGGCAGGACAGGCTTGGATTTTGGAGCTTTTATGGGCCAGGCTCAGGGAGCAGAGCTGGGTTGGTCCTAATGTGGGCAGTTTAAGGGTTGGGTTGGTATGAGGGAGTGGTGAGCCTTTCCCAGAAAAGTCCTTGGATGGGAAAATGGCGGTTGTCACTTAAGATGACTGCCCAGATGCTAAGCAAGGACCTTACAGAAGACATAATCATGGTATTAAATCATTTTAAGATGAGTCAATCATATTTGTCTAAGGATTGGATTTGAGGGATGAAGAAGAGGAATCAGTTAAAAATGGCTCCCAAATTATAAATGTATCTCTAGTGTTGGGGATGGATAAGACCAATTGGGGATTGCTGCTATTTTATTTTATGTATTTATTTATTTTGGTAACTGGGGATTTAGCTTAGGGATGCCTTACAATTGAGATACATTCCTAGTCTTTTTAACTTTTACTTGAGATAGGGTCTCACTAAGTTGCTGAGGCCGGCCTTGAACTTGCAATCCTCTTGCCTCAGCCTCCAGAGTTGCTAGGGTTATAGGTATACACCTATAATCCAGTTTTATTGCTGCTATTTAAAAAAGGATGATGCAGAAAAATTAAATAAGGAATGTTTTTTTTTATTCTGAGAAACCGATGACTCCATTTTTGAGAAACCAGCTTCTACCTCAAGGCCTGTCCAAAGGGAGGGACGTGACCCTTATCCTTGGAAAAACCCACAGGACGCTCCTAGGCACATACCCACCCTGCTGAGTTGTTTAAAAGGAGGGATCTGCAGAGCCTGGTGTCCTGACTCAGTTCTGCTAGGTGATGACCCCTAGCAACCCCCTAGCAACTAACAATCAGCATGAGACAGGGAAAATATCTGAAATGCCTGGTGACCCTCCCAGTAGTTTCAGTGATGGATAACATGATTAAGCCACCCTGCAGTTTAGCGTATACACTCTTGCAACCCATCCCGGTCTAAACCAATCAGTTCAAATGTATCCACCACTTGAAGTAACCAATCACCCTTACCCAACTGTTCCCGCCAGTGAATGTGCTAATTAATGTTAAGAGTTGTTGTTTGATTTTCCTGCGGTCTGCAATGATTTGCTGTGTGATGTTGTGACGCATAGAACATCCCCCCAAAACCTATAAATCCTCACTGAACTAAGGGTCAGGACTCACTCCTTGGGACCACTGCGTCAGAAACAGTTGTGAGTCCAGGCTCAGAGCTTGCAATAAAAACTCTTGTGTGCTTGCATCGGATTCAGCTCCTTGAGGTCTATTGGGGTCCCATGAATCTGGCATTACAATTCTCCTTCAAAATTTGATTTAGTAAAATTTAAAAAAAAGCTACATAGGTTAATATAAGTATATACTATCATGTAAGTAAAAAAATAGTTGGGCATGGTGGTATGCACCTGTAGACACAGCTGCTAAAAAGGGCTGAGGCAGGAGGATCACTTGAATACAGGCCTTTGAGGAGAGACTGTGCAACACAATGAGGCGCTCTCCCAAAAAGACCAAACAAACATGCCTATAATCCCAGGTGTTCCAGAAGCTGAGGCAGGAGATCATGCACACACACACACACACACACACACACACATGTATGCATGTATGGCTGCTGTGTGGAAAACAGGCTGTATGGATCAAGAGAGCAAGCAAGGAGACCAATTAGAAGGCAATTGTAAACAATCCAGGAGGGAAGATGATAGTAACTTGGAACAGAATTTGTGGTAAAAATTAATGGATTTCTGGAGCCAACAACATTCACTGAAGGACTGGATGTGTGGGGAAGAGAGAAAGGGGAAAGCATAGTCCCTGTGATAAATGGCCTGAACACCTGGAAGGCCAGAGTTGTCACCTATTGAGATGAGAAAGCTACAGATGGGGTAGTAGAAATGAGAATAAGATTAGAGCATCCTCTTCTCTTTAAGGAAATGATTTTTAAGAAGAGGAACAACAACAATATTATAAGGAAATTGTTTCCTTGTTGGTTCATGTCAATTGCCTGTTTTATCTGTAGTCAGTCAGTGGTGCAAAGGGATGGTAACTTCATATGGAAATGGAAAATCAGGGTGTGCAAGAACTAGAGAAAAACTAAACATTCCAAATAATCTCTACTTTTTTTATTATTACCTCATTTATTTAAATCCTTCTTGAAATTGGGCCCATACATGTAATCCCAGCAACTCTGAAGAATTAGACAGGAGGATTGCAAATTCAAGGCCAGCTTGGGCAATTTAGTAAGACTTCTGAAAACAAAATATAAAAAGGGTTAAGGATGTAGCTTAGGGGTAAAGTACTCCTGAGTTCATCCCTAGTACTGCCAATAAACAAACAAATAAATCCTTTATTATTTTTTCTTTTGCCTTGAATGCATTTTGTAAACTTGCTGCCTTGGTGGTGTACATGTGTAAGCCTAACTACTCAGGAGGCTGAGGCAGGAGGACTGTAAGTTTGAGGCCAGCCTTGGCAATTTAGTGAAACTGTCTCAAAATTTAAAAATGAATAAATAAAAATGAAAAGGGCTGGAGATATAGCTCACTGTTACAGTAGGCCTGGGTTCAATTTTTAGTACCACAAAAAACAGAAAATATCAACAATAACAACAGAAACTTGTTACTTTTAAGTATTGATGTTTTGTAGCACCTTCTCCCATTTATTTAAATATTTCTCCCTACCTTTTTGAAGTTTCAGAGTGCATTTATTATTTCTACAGTTTTTGGATATCATGATGTTGTCTTGGCAAACGAGCACTTCCTTATTTTACACTTTAGCCTTATCTCTTCTCAATTTTTATTTGCAATAATATCTGATTAACCATTAGCGTATATCTATCACAAAGCCTCTGTGAGGTTGCTAGGACAGATGCCATAAGGAAAACAGAAGAAAAAAAGTTAACTTAGTAAATCAAACCCGGAATATATATCTTGACTCCTAATACAGCATGTTTTCCATTAACTATTCTCTTTCTCACTTCTTTATTATTGTTTTTGTCTTTCTCTGGATACTTTCAGACTGATTTTGTCCTTAATATTAGATGCCAGAACTTGCCACATTCTCTAGGGAGATTTTTAAATGAGGACAAGATAATGGTTTCTGATTTCTTTCTTTTTTCTTTTTTTATTCGGGTACCAGGGATTGAACTCAGGGTCACTCGACCACTGAGCCACATCTGTAGCCCTATTTTGTATTTTATTAGAAACTGCTTAGCGCCTTGCTAAATTGCTGACGCTGGCTTTGAAATTGGGATCCTCCTGCCTCAGCCTCCCTGTCGCTGGGATTACAGGCATGCCACCGCACCCGGCCTTTCTGATTTATTTCTAATAACGTTTCTGATAATATTCAATTTTCTTTCTTTTTATTTATTTATTTTTATTTTTATTTTATTTATTTATTTTTTTATTTTATTTTATTTATTTTTTATTTTTTCCAATTTTCTTAATTGCAGGATTAATGTTTTAGAAAAATAGTTTAGGGCTGGGGATGTGGCTCAAGCGGTAGCGCGCTCGCCTGGTATGCGTGCGGCCCGGGTAGGATCCTCAGCACCACGTACAAAGATGTTTGTCAGCTGAAAAAAACTAAAAAAAACTAAAATATTAAAAAATTCTCTCTCTCTCTCTCAAAAAAAAAAAAAAAAAAAAAAAAAAAAGAAAGAAAGAAAAATAGTTTACAGTGGTTACATAGTCTTATGGTCATAACAAATTGTCTTGAATACAACAAATGTATTTACCTTTAAATTACTTCACAGTTATCCACAATATCGTTCATTTGTTATGCTTTTATTTGCATAGCCATGTGAAAAAATTCCTGTAGAATATTCCTGCCTCTTTGACATTAAACATTCATGATTGCTATTTCACTTTCATTAATTATTGAGCTTTTGGAATCTCTAATAAAGGATAATTTCATTGACCGAGACAAGAAATTGCTTTTCTGGAGTAAACACAATGATACCTAAATACTCTCTGAATGACTTTTTGTTTTTGGTACTCACGATTGAACCCTGGGGTGCTTTTTATTCTGAGACAGGGTCTCACTAAATTGCCCAGGCTAGCTTCCAACTTGAGATCCTCCTGACTCAGACAGGGATTACAGGTGTGTACCACCTCGCCGGGTTAGTATTTATTTTTAAGAGATGGGGGTTTCACTATGTTACCTAGGCTGACCTTGAAGTCAAGTCTTATGATAAATGAATATGTAAGTGAAGGAAGAAACTAATTTTTCGAAAGACCTTTCACAAAATGTCACACCAAAAATTAGTAACATTAAAACAAAAATAATTCACAGTAGTATGGAGGAACAATTTGTAGCGTCAGTGGAATTAAAAGCTAGAAAACGTGTATGTGTAAAGTGATGTATTTTTTCATACAGTCAATGATTTGACAAAGGTGGTAGAGAAGTCTCCAAATTTTTATGCCATGCTACATTTTCCTTTTTCTGTTTCTCTGGAGTTCCTATTCTGGTGCACACCCATTGTCTTCCTGTAATTCTTCCTAGTGTCTTCCTTTTTATACAACTGAGATCTGACGAGAAAGCGAGAAAGTACGTACTTCAAACTTCTTGCCTGCTTTAGCTCTAGTCGCTGTTCTTGAAGGACCCATTAGCCCACTCCCTAGCTACACGTTATTTACGCGCGTTCCCTTAAGTGAAGGCTCAGGCATGTTGCTAGACATTATCACTCCCCAAGGATTCCAGATTTTGGCGCTCCCTTACAGCCGGCTCCTCCCAAGGGAGGAGCTCCCCACCCGTCTCCGCACCCCGCCGCGGCGCACTGCATGCTGGGAGCCGTAGTCTCCGTCGGCCTAGCCCGGAAGCACTGAAGGGCACGGGAGTCCAGGCCGCTCTTCCGACCTGGAGGGCACGTTCCTTACCTGCTCTTTCGTCCGCTCAGGCGGAGCTTCCCCGAGCACAGCCGAGTTTGACTGTGTGTCGGTCTCTCTTCTGAGTTTCAATAAAGTTTTCCTCTTCTTCCCATATACGGAGCTCAAGATGGCGGCCTCCTGGTCGCCCTTGGTTACCCTGCACTCCTTAGCGCGGAGCCGGCTGAGCCGGAGATGTGTTGGGTGCGGGGCCTGGGCCGCCGCTCTTGTTCCTCCCGCCACCGCCCCAGGGAAGCCCCTTTGTAAAGGTCAGTGATTGTGCCTTGAGCAGGCCAACCCGGCTTTGCATATCATAGGAGAATCCACTGGGGTCACCCTCCTTCCCAGATCTCACCAGGCGCCTCCTGGTTTTCAAGGTTTTTCTGAACCGAGGGGTCTCCTGAGAGGAGTTTGTTTCTTTTGCCCTTCCATACACCGCCCCCGTACTCGTCCTTAAAGGAGCTCCGAGCATTGTGGAAACTGCCTAGTGATTTTCACTTTAAGGGTCAGAGGTCGATCTGTAGTTTGTACCTTCTAGACGTTAGAAAGCTGAGACCTGATGAGTCCAGGTGCGGGAGTGCCTGGCTCCGAGGGATTTGAGTGCGGGGTAGGTGTCTGGGGACACCCGGTGCCTTTCCGCCCCTTTCCGCCCCTCCAGGCAGGTGACTGGGCATAGGATTAGGAGTCGCGCCTCAACCCCAGCAGACCTTGCTGTTCTCGGGATTCTGGGAACACAGGACTACTAGAAGCTTTCTCAGATTGAGGGATCCATTCTTGGTGTTTTCAAGCCTCAGTGGAATGTTTTTTTGTCACCAGACTTTCATCATTCATTCATCATTTATTGTTGTTTATGCACCAATGAATGAATGTATGTTTTGAGATACCAAGCCCACAAGAATGCAAATTTTCCTGCCCTGTTCACATATTCTTACACTACTACGGAAAGGCAAGGACCTTCGTGTAATTTTTTTCCTCAACTGTGATTGGCACCTCATGGGTAGATATGATTATCGAATGAATGGTAAAATTACTGTCTCCCCATCCATATACTTATGTTTTCTCTTTTCTCATCTCCAAGTAGGCCCCTTATATACCTTAATCAATTAATATGCTTTCATCAATTATATACTTTAAACTAAGTGCAGTGATGTAGGCCTATAATCCCAGTGATTTGGGAGGCTGAGGCAGGAGAATTGCAAATTTGAGGCAAGCTAGGGCAATTTAGTGAGACTTTAAAAATAAATAAATAATAATAACAGACTGGGGATGTAACTCAGTGGTAGAGCACCTCTGGGTTAAAACACAAACACACACAAACCTTATGCACTTTAATAAATGGCTTCTCATTGGTTAAAAATGTAATGATCTTGATCATTACCATCAGTGCAGTCGAAACTAATACTAAAACTCATTTAGTAAGTCACCTTAGTCTTGTGTTTTTCATGCAAAGATCAGTTTAATGCACTTAATGTATAATGAAATATTTTGGTAGTATAAATTCTGTATCATAAATTTTATTTTTAGGATAATCAATAGGGCTGGGGGTATAGCTCAGTGATAGAGTGCATGTGTAACATATAGAGGCCCTGGGTTGGATCCTCAGCACTTGCAAAAATAAAATAATAAACTATATGGACAGGAATAATCAATAAAAGCAAATGGTACAAAATTCAAAATTTATAAGGAGAAATATGATAAAATGTAAGAACTGTATCTTAGCAGTTTACTTTTCCTCCTTAGAGGAATCCTCTAAGAACTAGTTTCTTATGTATTCTCCCAGAGGCATTCAGTGTATGTACAAGCATATATATATATATATATATATATATATATATATATATATATATATACTTATATAGATATATATAAAAAAGTTGAAGTAGTAGGGCTGGGGACATAGCTCAGTTGGTAGAGTGCTTGCCTCCCAAGCACAAAGCCCCAGGACCACCACCAAAAAAAAAAGAAAAAGTTGAAATAGTAACATGACTCATGTTGTGTACAGCCAGAGATATGAAAAATTGTGCTATGTATGTGTAATATGAATTGAAATGCATTCTGCTGTCATATATATAATAAATTAGAATAAATTTAAAAAATAAATTTTAAAAAGTTGAAGTAGTAACATACAAAACTGTTCAGTAGATAGCACAGCTAATTTTTAAATTTTATATATCATGGAGATCATTCATATCAGTAAGTATAAAATTGCTTCATTTTTCAAATTGTTAAAATCGTATTCTGTGTATGTATCACAATTTTGTGAAAATCGAGATTTAAGGAATATCATTACAACATGTATGATTTGACGAATGCTTATTCTGTGTCATTCAGTATACTAAGTGCTCTTCACATACATAATCCTCTTTAACACTCATTATCCTTATTTTAGGAATCATGAATCAAAGTTGTGAAAGTTACATTGTCAGTAAGTGGCAGAATTGGTGGAGTTAAAGAAAAGGCCATACTTGAATTTACATCTGACCCTTAAGTCCGTGCTCTTAATCTATACTCAATACTGTGTACTCAATTCAGCCTGCTTCTGGGTATTGAGATTTGATGAAAATGTAGTTAATATAGACACTGATTTAATTCTAACTAAAAATATTCATTCCTCCTCTTTAAAAGGAAAATTTAAATTGAAGAAAAAAATTTTTTTTTGATATTGGCTATTGAACCCAGTGCTCTTTATCAATTAGCTACATCCCCAGACCTTTTTATTTTGAGACAAGGTCTCACTAAATTGCAGAGGTTGGCCAGGAACTTGCAATCTTCCTGCCTCAGCCTTCGGAGTCACTGGGATACAGGCATGTGCCACTGTGGCCAGCTTTAAATTGAAATTTTATTCAGTATTTAGAGTCTGACTTACAAATTTGTTTTCTGTTCCTTTTTTGATACCCCCCACTTTTTTTTAAATATTCCTATTTTGTCTCCATTTTTTTCATCTTTTGAAGTGTACTACTTAGTGCAGTGTAATGTGAGTGAAGCATTGGTTTAAACAAAAGCAAATAGGTAAAGGAGTAGCTTCCCGCCCCCCAAAGTATTAGTGGTGAACCCTCTATGACTTTACCCCTGAGCTACACCCCCAGCCCTTTTTGAGGCATGTTCTCAATAAATTGATGAGAACTTGCAATCCTGTTGTCTCAGCCTCTGGAGTTGCTGGGATTACAGTGCCCAGCCAGAAGGACATATTCTTAACTTTGTTTTTCCTCTCTCATCTTACTTTAAAACCAGCCCTGGTGCTAAGACATTTTGTAAATGGGAGCTATGAAAAGTCTATGGATCTTTTTTTTTTAATATTTATTTTTTAGTTTTAGGTGGGCACAATATCTTTATTTTATTTTTATGTGGTGCTGAGAATTGAACCCAGTGCCTCACGCATGCCAGGCGAGCGCTCTACCACTTGAGCCACATCCCCAACCAAGTCTATGGATCTTAAAGTCCAAATCACCTACTTGACCAACATAGCCTTAGGTTTCTTAGGAAGTACAACATTATGAATTCCATTTTGGGATATGTATATTTCCATTAGATTATAAAACAATTGAAAGTAATATTTGGCATTTTATGTAATTTAAGCATGTATCAAAAGCATGCTCTTTTGATTTTACTGACTATTTTCTTTTAGGTAGAAACGTATTTTTATTTGATGTGACAGTTATTCAACTAACAGATAGTTAAGTGGAGACATTTTATTAGAAACCAGAGTTGCCGGGGCTGGGGTTTTGGCTCAGTGGTGGAGCACTTGCCTGGCACATGTGAGGCACTGAGTTTGATCCTCAGCACCACATAAAAATAAATAAATAAAATAAAGGTTTTGGGCTGGGGTTGTGGCTCAGTGGTAGAGCACTTGCCTAACGTGTGAGGTACTGGGTTGATTCTCAGCACCACATATAAATAAATGAATAAAATAAAGGTCCATCAACATCTAAAAATAAATGAATAAATAAAGGTATTGTGTCCATCTACAACTAAAAAAAGAAAACAAGAAAGAAATCAGAGCTGCCATGGCATGAATGGAAATGACTCAAAAGTTGTGAATTCAGTTGAAGTCTTAGCCAGGGTAGTTTAGGGGAACATAATTTAGGGCCTGAATTACTGCTATGGTGAAAGGCAGGACAGGAGTGGGGGAGTTGGGGGGCAGATTTAGATAATTTTTGGTAGAATTGACAGTCCTGGAAAAGCAAGGAAAGGAAGGAGTTAATATCAATTTAGATTTCCTAGCTTGGGTCATTAAATCAAGGGAAACCAAAATAAAAAAGGTAGGGCCAGACAGGCATTTTAGGGAAGATTCAGTTTTGAGCTTGTTAAATTGAAAGTGTTTTTGAGCTGGGCATGGTGGCACACCGCCTGTAATCCCAGCGGCTGGGAGGCTGAGGCAGGAGGCTAGCAAGTTCAAAGGCAGTCTCAGCGAAAGTGGGGCACTGAGCAATTTGGTGAGACCCTATTTCTAAATAAAATACAAAATAGGGCTTGGGATATAGCTCAGTTGTCAGGTGCCCCTGAGTTCAATTCCCAGTAGCAAAAAAAAAAAAAAGAAAAGAAAAGAAGTTGTTTTTCATGGTTCCAGGTAAATGAGTCTAGTTGGTTATAGGACAGGGGGAAAACTGAGAAAGACAATGGGAGGCAGGCTGCATGGAGGGCCATGAGAATGGAAGAATCAGCCTGGGGAGATTTATAGAGAGAAAAGGAGAAAAAGCTGAGGGTGACTCCTTGGGGAAAATTGATATTTTATGAGACAAAGGAACCTCCTAGAAGAGCAGAAATGATATAGGACAACTACCAGAGATACTAAGGAGGAAAATGTTTCTAGGTTTTATAAAATGTAAAAATTAGCATGTCTGAAATTGTTTTATTTATTTCTAGCCTTAGAAATTCAGTTTATTTTGTAGAGGCTAAGTGACATGTGATTTCTTTTTATTATAACATCCATCCCTATCGTATTATATTTTTTGGTGTCTCTATTAAATGGTGACTCATATTTACCTTTTTTTTTTTTAAGAGAGAGGTGAGAGAGAGAGAGAGAGAGAGAGAGAGAAAGAGAGAGAGAGAGAGAATTTTTTAATATTTATTTTTTAGTTATCTGCGGACACAACATCTTTGTTTGTATGTGGTGCTGAGGATCGAACCCGGGCCTCACGAATGCCAGGCGAGCGCGCTACCACTTGAGCCACATCCCCAGCCCCCATATTTACCTTTGACTCCACGATTTCTTTATTAGTCCAGGTGCATAGGAGATTGTTCCCAATTAGGCATTAGTGTAAGTAGAACT